CAATGCCACAGATGTATAAGATGTGACTGTTAGGGGAACCTGGGCTGGGTGATAAGCCGACGCTCTGAGCTGGTTTTGCAAATTCTTCATGAAATGATGTTAAAAGGAACAGTTAACAAACAAAATGAAGAGGGAGAGGCTGGGGCTTCCTTTCTATATAGGCAGCAGGTAAACCGAGGGGCTGATTTTGGGTGTTGACGGCTCTGTGTATGCTTCTATAATCCATCCTCATTAGAAATTAAATAGACACCAAGTCAATTATCAATTAAGTGACAAGCTGAATAAACACTGCAGGTGTTAATTGACCCTTCAAGGGTTCTTTGAAGCTCACTCAGCGTGGCCAGTTCCTTTGAAGTTCTGTTTTGGCTTCAGCAAATCGCTGATTAGAATGATTTAATGGTGAAGTTTTGCCTGGTTAATGGGAACAGAATAAAGTGTAGTTACAAAACTACTTTTTGTCTTCTAATATGTAATCTCGCACAGTCCGGACAGACAAAGGGGTAGAGTCATGTTGCTTAGTGAATAACTAAACTTAAGCTTTAAAAAAAATCATATGTAACAGATTTTCTATTGACATAAGAAGTCAGGGTTACTCTGAGTGGGCTAGGAAGCATTCTTGAGTTTATGATCAGTGTGGTTTTCCAGGGAGAACAATGGTGTAAAGTTCTATGCCCTCCTGGTGCTACTCCTCCCCGTGTTTCACCACTTACATGTCACTTACGTTCTTTTAATGTCTGTTCAGCTCAGCAGCCTGGGTGTTCCACGTGGAGGCTGGCTCCTGAACATACGCGCAAGAGACACAAACATCCGCTAAGGTGAAGATCAGGGTGCATTTAATGGGGCAAAGTGAGGGTGTTTGCCAGGCAGGGAGAAGGCCAGACTGGTGGGCAGGGTGGGCCATGCTCTGAAAATCCTTGAATGCTCTGTTAAGGCTTCAGTTGGGTTTTATTCCAATTGTCATGGCTCAGTCACTGAAGGTTTTTTAAGAAACTGATGCATTTAAGTAAGTCTGGAGGCATATCTTAAACACATTTGTGAGTTCTTGTTTTTCTTCCTTCTCTACCCCTAGACACACCCACCCAGTCTCGAAACAGGGTAGATAATTATGCCCAGATATGAGTGCATATTTTAAAGATATCAAACACTCTCTTCCTGGTCTTTTGTCAAGACTTTGTGATGTTCCAAATTCTTTTAACCACCATGTCTTAATTTAGAAGCCTTAGTAGCTTAACGCTGAAATAAAATCAATCTTTTTGTCTCTCTTGATATTTCCAGAATTAGGAGTTAGATTGGATCACTTTAGAAATTAAGAAGGAATGCTTAATTTCCTGCTAACCATGTTTCTGACTGCAGGAAAAATTGTAATTACTGGACCACACGGCAAAGGCAACTAGGACTGATGGCTCTCCCTTTAAAGAAGGTATTGAAGGTGTAAGAGGCTGACCTGTCTAAACTTAGAATCTAACTAGTTCAAAATGAACTGAGCCTCATCTGATGGACAGAGTGAATTAGGCTGAAGCAAATGCTGCCCCCCTGTCCGCCCTCCCCCCCACACACCACAATTAACATATGGACAATTTTGGAACTTTACATCATCCACCACTTTTAGACAGCCTCTGCTGTAGCCATGGCAACCCTTACATAAAGCAGAGCTGAGTTGGTAACTTCACTCCAAATGAATTGAAAACAAGGCTAATCCTATTATTGTTCGTAACAATTTTCCAAGTAGCTTCTTCTCAGAGTGCCCTTGCTTGTATAGTCTCTCTTTTAAAAACAGATTATTGGAAAATTATATGTGTGTGTGCACTCTTCCTACACGCATAGCCATTAGCACGGTCCTGCTGTCATTGCCGTGTAACCTTGCGCCCAAGATGAAGTACACCCACCTACATGGCCACTTAGTATTTTTCTTGCAGTTCGGGGATGGGTAAATCTTTTAAATATATCAATTTAGAACCTGGCACATAGCAGAAGCTGTCACTCGAAAATTACAGTTAAATAACAGTCTTTTGAAGATAAATTCTATTATGCGTTTGTATAAATCTGGAAAGGTAACCCAGTGGCTCTGCTGTGTATTGTAACTGTGCCCACGTGTGTTTCAGTAGCGATTTCAGAAAACCATGTTTTCCTTTTCTGCTTCCACTGAAGAGCATTCCCTTGTAAAGTGGTCCTATGGCCATGTCAAGATATTCCTCTTTGTAATTGTGATGAACACTCAATGTCACCCCGAGAAGCTCTGCTGCCCCTGACTCTACGGATGCACTTGTGTGCTCAGATGCTTCTCCAGTGGCCCATCTCCCTTATGGTGGTGGCCTGCTCAAGGCTTTAGGATCCAAACCCGGGTGTCAGTCCTGAAACAGAGAAAAGGGAACCTCCCCGACAGGCCAATAGGCTCAGACCTGGACTGTTCCACTGCGGGGGGCAGTCTTAGAGTGAAAAGTAAACATGGTTTGGGTTCAGAGGCTTTCAGACACAGCCTCGCCCCTCACCTGCTCCCTCAGCTTTGCCGTCTCCCATCCTTTGTGCCTCAGACTCTTCATCAGAAGCGGGCACGGATGCCAATAACTAGCCCACGGGGCTGTGTGCACACCAACAGGACGATGCCAGTCATCTCGAGAAAGTCATTAGCAACACAGCTCCATACACGTCTGCTGAGGACTATCAGAAGACAGGAACCACGGTGAACCAACAGGAAACCCCGTTTGTTAGACCAGAAGGCATGCAGGGTGCAAGTCCCATCAGGGCTTTGTCAACAACTGCTCGGGTCCTGCCCACTGCTGCTGGGTTGCTGTTGAATGTGGCGTCCTGGCGAACACCAAGAGGAAGAGCTCAGAGAGCTGGAAGCCATTTCAGTCTGAATCCAAGCACCAGGAAGACATGGGGCAATCCCTCCAATATTCCCTACATGATAAGGACTGTGAGCTGTCATTGTCAGGCACCCACGTGGCCGTGGCCCCACCCGGCAGTTCCTACAGATCACAACTTTAGCACACTCAAGAGCTCATCCACACACACTTTTCTGAGTCTGACATTGAAGGAGGAGGGGACCCGAGTCGGGGGAAGGACTGGTGGAGATAAAACAGAGGAGGAGAGGATGCTAGAGAAATCAGCAGGGATGAGAAAAGAAGAAATGGGCAAAACCACATCAAGTAAGATCAGCTCAGTCCTGCAGGCCACCTACGGCAGACAAATGAAATCGAGGGGTCTGCTTGCTCAGGGTGACTCGTGCTGTGTGAAGGGCCGTGAGGCCTTCTGCAGACTCTGTGCCACCCTGCTTGGTATCTCTGCTCAGCATCCCTGTTTCTCTTTCACACTTGGACACGGACATTCACACTGTAGACTTTCCTTTCTTGCATAAACAAAGTTTGTTTGGCAAAAGCCAACCTTGACCACGGATGCTATTAATACAACCATCATCCAACACGTCTCACTTTTTCCTCTCCCCACTCCCAACCTGACATTACATCCAGGAAATGCCTGAGATCTCTGGAATGTCTCACTAATAAGGCCTTTACGAGGAATGGCTGAATTTCTGAGAATGTGTCACCATATATTTTTGCACTGCAGTGGTTTTCTGAAAACTTAAACAAGGTGATTTTAGATCCAGGAAAGTGTTGCATCACTGAATCTCTTACACTGATGGACAGAGAAAGGCACTCAGTAGATGTTGAATGAATTAATTTAAAACAGTACAGCTCATTTAGTACAGCCTCTTTTTATGTAAGCAGTTAAATGAATTGTTCAAGGTCACAGTGATGATTTGCAACAGAACTTGGAGCAGAATCCAGGACACTCAACTTTCAGCTTTGTATCAGGTTTCATGAACTCAGATGTTACAAGAAGCTACACAGATAATAACATAATCAATCTTTGAGTCTTAAAACTTAAATTGTATAACATGAAATAAGCAAAAGGATAACATTTTTCAATCTAAAAGTATTGCTCAGATGAATGAAACAGAAAACAAAGACCACAGAAGCAGTGGTTATTTTTCTCCTAATTGAAGTAACATTTAACATAAGGACAATAAAATTAATGAAAGGAAATAACAGTCTATAAATACAAATTCTCTGAGTTGAATGTTGAGTCTTGGAAAATAAAGTAAAATTCAGTGTTGATAATTGGTTTAAAAACAGGTGGTCTAACTTATGACATTTGTTTTGATATTTTTATCCTTCAGTCTCTGTACTAAAATGCAAACTTAAACCCATAGAGACATACAAAATCACTCATTTTATCCCCTCCACCAATGCATCAAGAGCCAGTATTCCTTCTATTCCAACTTATTTTGAATTCACAGTGGAGTTTCCTTGTTGTTGAAGATTGAAATAGGTAGCAGTTGTAGTTCTTAAAATGCTAAGAAATTAAAACATTAAAGCAAGGCAAAAAAATCCAGCTCATCTCGTATCAAATGACTTAATTTGATATATACTTTAAATCTTTAAACATCTATTCTTCAGTTGTATCATGGACATAGCAAAGTCTGCTTGTGCAAGAAACACGATTAACTGGAGGCTGTAGTGGATTTGATTGGGTTTTCTCCTGTCATCACCAGCACACACATCAGAGAACTGATCAGATAACCAGCATTATGTATGCATCATATGAGCATTTACGGTTCCCTTGTGACCTGCACAGGTTGGTCATATGGTCTCCAGGGAGGAAAAGATGTATGTGACCACACATTTGCAGAACAGGCGACAGATGACTAGTACCATGACATTTTAAAATCACCAGCATCTAAAAATATTTGTTGACATTGAATCAACTCCAGACCAAATCCAAAACTAGCTCAGGTCACTTAGCTGCCTCTCTTGTGTGGCTTCATACAAGCCCAAACTGAGGCAAATACCAGTGTCCAGGACCAGACAACTTCTCTAGCTCCAAGACCAGCACAGAAACATCCAGGAAGCTCTGACAAATCATTCACAGTATAGGTTACATTTTAGCAGCCAGAAGAGCAAGGCAAGAAAGAAGGACATCTCTTGTCCAGCACTCACCATATGGACGGCGCTTCTGTCCCACTGATCTCTAAGAAGTCGTACCCTTCTTCGAGCTGGAAATCAGTGAAGACCAGCGCGATGGTGTCCCCGGGCTCCGCAAGGATGGTCCACGTGCAGTCCGCATTGTTCTCGTACTCGGAGGGGAAGTGGGGGCTGGAGATGCTGCTGCTCGTACCCCGCAAGGTTCCGCCGCAGGCCCCCTCGGCTGCAAGGGGCAGAAGAGAGACAGCGCATTTAAAAGTGGCTTCAGACCCGAGTACCTCCATCAAGCGCCACTCTTTTTATTTTTTTTATCACAACCATAGTGTATCTTTTTTTTTTTTTTTTTTTTTTTACATGTTTTCCCCATCCCGGTCCCCCTCCCACCTCCCTCTCCACCCAATCCCTCTGGGTCTTCCCAGTGCACCAGGCCCGAGCACTTGTCTCATGCACCCAACCTGGGCTGGTGAACTGTTTCACCCTAGATAATATACGTGTTTCAATGCTGTTCTCTTGAAACATCCCACCCTCGCCTTCTCCCAGAGTCCACAAGTCTGTCTTGATGGGTGGCAAATATCTTCTGAATCCAAAATCATGACACACAGTCGGAATGAGGGTTTCTTTCTTCTGATTTGTTAGTTTAGTCCTATGGAAAGACTTAACAGTATACCAACTATATTGCCTTGTGAACTGAACTACCACTAAAGAAAGAAGTAAAATTATGTCTTTTCTAAGACCTGTGATGTACAATTATTATACACCTGACTTTCACAGGCAGCTCAACAGCATTCTCAAAGGAAGACAGAAACAAGTTGGCAACATTTTGAGTCTTAAAAGTATGTAGCCATCTTTGCTTCATTTTCTGTGAGCTGGCTGTGAAAACACAGTGATCTTAAAAGAAGTAGCCACCTTAATCTTTACATCAGGTAGAGTCTGGAATGTGCACTTGGCTTTGAATTTCAGGTAAGTCCTTGAATAAGATGAAAACCAAGATGCATCAATTCATGAAAAGATTCTGAGTAGGAAACAGCTACATGAAAACTTAAAATGGATAATCTAGGAAAAGCGACAAGGAAAAGATCAGTATGGTAAAATATAATACACTGAGGATACAAATTAGCATTGGAATAAATACTCTTTTGAAGAGAAGTGGATCTTGTAATTTTTTTCACTTAGTAAAAAAAATAGATGTTATTCAATTTATATAATCACCTAATACAAAATGTTATGTATATGGTAAACTGTATATATAGGGCAGACACATATGTGTAAGACAACATTTTTGAAGACACTGTAAATATTGTTCCTTCCTCTCTTTCTTCCCTTTTCTCTCCCTTTTCTCCCTTCCATCCTCCCTCCCTTCTTTCCTATCACATAATACTAGCAAAGAGTACACACTTGGCTGTCTTTGTCTGCAGACTCTATATCCATTTTGTTTTTGTTCAGTCACTCAGTCATCTCTGACTTTTTGTGACCCCATGGACTGTAGCATGCCAGGCTTCCCTGTCCTTCACTATCTCCCAGAGTTTGCTCAAACTCATGTCTATTGAGCTGATGATGCCATCCAACCATTTCATCTTTTTTAGCCCTCTTCTCCTCCTGCCCTCAAACTTTCCCAGCATCCTGGTCTTTCCCAATGAGTCTGCTCTTTGCATCCATAGATTCTACCAACAGAAGATGGAAAATATACAAAAAAGATTCCCAGAAAGTTCTAAACAGTGAAACTTAAGTTTGCTGCATGCTGACAACTACATACCATTTTCATTGTATTAGTCGTTGTAAGTATTCTAGAAATAATTTAAGGTATATGAGAGGATGTGTGTGGTGTTTACATAGAAATATTACTATGACATTTTATATAAGGGACTTGAGCATCCAAGAAAAGTTCCAGGGTTTCAGAAAAGCATCTACTTCTGCTTTATTGGCTATGCCAAAGTCTTTGACTGTGTGGATCACAATAAACTATGGAAAAAGAGATGGGAATACCGGATCACCTGACCTGCCTCTTGAGAAAGCTGTATGCACAGATCAGGAAGCAACAATTAGAACTGGACAAGAACAACAGACTGGATCCAAATCAGGAAAGGAGTACGTCAAGGCTGTATGTTGTCACCCTGCTTGTTCAACTTATACATAGAGTACATCACGAGAAACACTGGGCTGGATGAAGCACAAACCAGAATCAAGATTGCCGGGAGAAATATCCATAACCTCAGATATGCAGATGACACCACCCTTATGGTAGAAAGTGAAGAAGAACTAAAGAACCCCTTGATGAAAGTGAAAGACGAGAGTGAAAAAGTTGGCTTAAAGCTCAACATTCAGAAAACTAAGATCATGGCATCCAGTTCCATCACTTCATGGCAAATAGATGGGGAAACAGTGGAAACAGTGGCTGACTTTATTTTTTTGGGCTCCAAAATCACTGCAGATGGTGACTGTAGCCATGAAATTAAAATACGCTCTCTCCTTGGAAAGAAAGTTATGACCAACCTAGACAATGTATAAAAAGTAGAGACATTACTTTGCTAACAAAGGTCCATCTAGTCAAAGCTATGGTTGTTTCAGTAGTCATGTATGGATGTGAGAATTGGACTGTAAAGAAAGCTGAACACCGAAGAATTGATGCTTTTGAGCTATGGTGTTGGAGGAGACTCTTGAGAATCCCTTGGAGTGCAAGGAGATCCAACCAGTCCATCTTAAAGGAAATCAATCCTGAAAATTCATTGTTGAAGCTGAAACTCCAATACTTTGGCCACCTGATGCGAAGAGCTGACTCATTTGAAAAGACCCTGATGCTGGAAAAGTTTGAAGGTGGGAAGAGAATGGGACAACAAAGGATGAGATGGTTGGATGGCATCACCGACTCAATGGACATGAGTTTGAGTGAACTCCAGGCATTGGTGATGGACAGGGAGGCCTGGCGTGCTGCAGTCCATGGGGTCCCAGAGCGACTGAACTGAACTGAGTATCCAAGGACTTTGTGATCTGCTGGGGACCCTGGAGTCAGTGTATGACTGTTGTGTCGTCCCAGCCCCACGGACTCTCCACTCACCGTCCTGTCTGATACCCCGCATCCCACTGCCCCTTCCTGGGTTCCACGTCCGGCCCTCTCTCACCTGCCTGGGCTTGCTCCCTGTCTCCTCAGCCTGGTCTGTCCCAATCCTCAGCACTTTGCTCAGGACAAAGCATTGGGCCACAAGCTTCATGAGCCTGACTGTGCTCAGGGATGCCCCTGGGCCTCATAGGTAGCCTGGAACTCAGTAAAGTCCCCTCTCTCCCCTCCTCACGCGCCTGACGCGACATTTCCTGTAAGTGAGTCACTTATACTAACCCTCCACTCAGACATCTTCAGTAGGAGGAATAGGACTGTACTAATATACCTCTGGGCTTAAGATAATATCCAACTTTATCATTTCAAAGAGTAGAAGTAGGCAGGTAAGCTAATTTAGTTCTAGTACTATGAGGCGTTTTCAAATGTAAAGTTCTAAAAAAATAATATTCTATTAAAAACGGCAGTAAGCCTATAAGAAGAAAGTTTCATCATGGTAGCAATCTAGAAGGGGCTTAGCTGACTATTTGTTTTGCTCTGTTTGTTTTCGGCAAATAGCTGAGCCCCAAGTCCAGAAATGCTCTTTTTGTTCTCAGCAGAGCAACAGGGAAATTTCAAGAAGAAATAAAGTCAAGGCAGGCAGAGAAAGCAAAATAATGAAGTAAAATATTAAAAAATGAGGATTATGGACAAGCTTCTCGGAAACTGGAGAATTATTTCAAACTCCATAAACATTTAATGTAAACTTAGAAATTACATATAAAAAGTAAAATATATTAAAAAATAACCATTAAAATAAACTAGATAATTCTGGCCAATATTTATATATTATAGCTATATATCAATATAATGTAAGCTTTTTTTTTTAATCCCTGGATGTTAACAGTAGAACAAATGTACCCAAAATTTTACCCTAATATTAATTCTGCTATATATAGAAGAGTTTTTTTTTTTTGTCTAGAAGCTGAAAAATTGGGGGAGGGTATCTACTTAAGTAAGTGTTATTTAGAATTACATCATCTCCCCCCTTCTTTTTTAAAAACACATTTTGCAGAAAGAAAATGAAGTTAGGTTTGAAACTGCCAGGTAAATACTTGACTATAAAAATTAGCACCCAAAATGTTTCCTAGAAAAATGTTGAATATCAATATTGAGTCCCTTCACTCCATATGGTAAAAACCGCTCCTGGGACAGCCATATTAAGGGGTCAGAGGGCACAGGTGCTAAACCAGAGTCAAGGAGTCAGGCTTTGATCCTGCAGCAACTATCAGAACAACTATTTCTTTAAATCCATTTCTTTTTTTTTTTATTTTTTTTTTCATTTATTTTTATTAGTTGGAGGCTAATTACTTTACATCATTGCAGTGGTTTTTGTCATACATTGAAATGAATCAGCCATGGATTTACATGTATTCCCCATCCTGGTCCCCCCTCCCACCTCCCTCTCCACCCGATCCCTCTGGGTCTTCCCAGTGCACCAGGCCCGAGCACTTGTCTCATGCATCCAACCTGGGCTGGTGATCTGTTTCACCCTAGATAATATACGTGTTTCGATGCTGTTCTCTTGAAACATCCCACCAGTTTCCACAAAATCTTGCATTTGAAAAAGAATTCCACAGCTTAAAGGAGTGTGAATGCCAACAAGTTAATCCAAGAAGAAGATAAGGTTTTTGATAAAAGATGTGTTTGAGTGTACTGATTTCTGTAAGTGGGGAAAATAATTCTAACTGTAAGCAGAAATCACAGTGCACTATGTCCCCTAAGGGATTTCACAACTTTTAAAAAGTTTTATCCCAAACTGTAAAAGTATTATAAGCTTTGCTTGGGTACCAGTGTTGTTAGGGATGTAACTTAAAGGTATGATTCAAAATACAGAATAAAACATTATTTAGAGACATACTTCACCATATTTATCATAAAGAAAAATTGAAACCAACTAAATGTTTAACAACAGATAAACCATCAAGTAAATTACAATGCAACCAAACCAAGTGGTGATTACCAAGCATCTGTAACATTGTTTCAGCAAATCCCTGACTTACAATATTAAATTTATAAAATGCAGGGTATACCCTGCATAGTTTCTTCTCAATTTTAAAAATTGCATAGAAAAATATTCAGAAAAGAAGAAAGATGTGCACACACATTTAAAATGTTCAGTTGCTAATACTAGG